TCCTTTCAAAATAAAAGAAGCGAAGGCGGCTACGAAAAATGCAGATGATGGTGTCAACAGTGTAGGCGTATGTTGAGGATGGTAGGATAAGACAGTGTACCAAATATACTGAGTGCACGTCTTTTCGAAAATGATGAGCGCTCACAATAGGCAAGGAAAAACACTCTAAGAAAAGGAACTGTAGTAGTTTTAAACACGTCCACTGTTTAACAATGCCAGACACATCAGGGGGATGATATGTCATTCACTGATTTCATATGAAATGTTCATAGCCCGATTTTCTTTGGTCATCTACAAAATATGCGTCTATACTGAGTGATAGAATAAAGCTATTATTGCGAGAAAAAGGTTACACAGAATTTTTGAACCAGATGTATCTCTTAACTTGCACACACAGCTTTACAAAAGATGTGCAACTCTGTTAACAAAATATGAACACCTGTGGAAAGTACAAAAACACGACAAAAACTATGGGGCTTCTGTTTCACAAACATATCGCCATTTATTCGTTGAAAGCGCTATTTCATTGCAGCGAACCTTTGTGATTACAGTTGACTTCTAGGCGAATGATGTACGAAATAAGTAAGACTAAAAATCTGTTTGTCGCATCAAAGTTCTTGTTTCAGTTATGAATTGTCATAGTAATCGTGCGCAGTCGACTTAACATGTCGTTTGATTGGTTCAAACATACGCTAGTCATTTTGGGGCACAGAGATTTTATAGCTTTTGTGATACTCAGCTCATACTTACAATAAGGAAATTTAATAGCTCTTCTATCACAACGATGAAAAACCTGTAAAAGCGTTTGCAAAATCGCGACACCAAACTAGCGATACGCAATGGGTGAAGCGACAGAAAACCTCGCCTGACTTAAACACGCTGGGCGGGGAAGCAGGTGCATAGGAAAGTTTACGGGACGCTTTTTGTGAATATATTTTTTGTTTACTAGGGTATGCTTGAATTGATTGAATTTGAGGACACAGGAAAAACGACAGGCACGTTCTGTACTCAGAATAAACCATTGTCATTTAGTATAACAGGGCTATTGTTTCATACTTTGGAAAACCAAAAAATAAAACACACAAAACAAATTAAACGAGCAAAATGAAGGCCGTTGTCAGAGTGTACATAACTCCGCCCGCATAATCGTGCATGAATTTAAAAGAAGTTTAAAAGTAACTGGTGGAAGGCCAAATACGTGATGACTAAATGAGACCATAAAGGACTTTCAAAGGCTGGTGATATTGTTGGGGCATTTGGTATTCTAACTAGATACATTATTTATCAGCTTATTTTTTTAGGCTTTGCACCACCAGTGTTGTTGGAAATTCTTCGGAAGCCTACGACCGGTTTTTCTATTCTTAGAACTCAGCGGATAGGCGCAATTCCAGAATTGCCGTGAGCCTCAAGCTTGGTTTAAATAGAACATTAGGTTGACAGAAGTTTGAGCATTGTGCCTACCCGATGAGCTTCGAAAAAGGCAAAACCGGTCGTGAACTGTCGAAGTGTTCTCAACAACCTAATAAGTAGTGTATTACGTCTATACGTAACGTCCTTAGCAGATCCACTATGAACCAGTTATGCAAATGACGCCTCGGACTCTTCAGTTCCCTTACCTTTAGAAGTGGAAACACGCAGTTGCGTGTAGGTTATACAAAAATAGTTATACATTTTTCATTGGGAGACATTTTGATAAATTTTCAATAACAACCGAACAAAACATTTAAAAATTTTACTCAACATGTCGGAAAACAACACAAAAACGAGCAAGCTTAGAAAACGTCGGTACCTTCTTGGTGGACTCAACCCTGCTGAGGGGTTAACATTGATAATCTAGTCTTAATAAATCAAATGCGATCCTCTGTCCTCGACTACAAGAACATGTTAACTGGGACACGAAGTTATCATAAAGGGCTTTTCAAAGAGTAGTTTTTGCGATCCAGTTTACCTGAAGCTAGCAAAAGCTGATTACTTATCGACTGATCCGGGGCACCCCGTGACCAAGTGCAAAATGTCTCTTGGGATATCTGTCAATCCTTATAAAAAGTTTTGAAATTTGAATGATATTGTTGGAATTTCTATTGAGCAGGCTAGGTTGATGTGAAAAAATCACAACGATGATAGAAGATATTGACGAATGAAACAGCAGACCATTATTGACCCTAAGTTGCTCATGGGTAACTGAGGAGCATCTTGACAGTAAACATGCACAACTAACTGATGTTATATTCCTTAACAAAACAGATGGAAACAACTCCTGTGAATGTCTCTGTTTTTCACAAAACTCGAACAGACTTTCAACTTGTCAACCTGGCTTGATCAAGTTCTTCAGTAACCAGCGAACTGACGCCCAAAAGTGAATCCAGCGATCTTTTTTCAACATTCTTAAAAAAAACTCAATATGTGAAAAAGCGACCTCTAGATGCAGACAATAAGGCATCACGTTAACATGACATGACTGTGCAAATTATGTTAACATATGATTTACAGAAGCAATATTCAACTGGGAATTAGAGTCCTCCGCTAGTTTTCATGAAGCATTTGTTCTCATAAATTTCGCCCAAGGAAAATTCCCAGTCAATTTATGAGAAAAATCTTCATTGCAGGTTTTATCCAAATAAAGACTAGGGTATTAGCTGGTAGCACAAGAAGACCCATAAAACTCTTCCAGTTTTTCCTATAAAACAAACTAACCGAGAAAAACAGGAACAACATACATTTCCACAATGCCAGTACTTAACACAGATTATCAGTAGAATCATCAGATGCAGCCTTAAGAGAATTATTTCCGCGTTTTGTTATTAAACAACACTGAATGACTTTGAAGGAGGACGATGATCACCTCTCCCTCCTGTAGGGATAAATCTTTCAAGACATTCATCATTTAAGAAATGCACAGACCCATGGTGTGATAGGTTCTATCCTCTAATGGAATTTTTGAACTGATCTGCAAACGGGAATTTGTCCCGAAAAACAGACTAGACAGCCATTGTATCTTTGCTCAAAGTGGTTGGAAAAGTAGTTGCTTCAATAATAGAGGTAAGAGCTTAACTGCGGCTGTAAGACGGTTACTGGCCTCAGTACAATTGTGACGCCTAACCTCATCAAGGGTGTTGGACAATACTTAGGCCATTATCAACACACGAATAATATTTGCTAACAAGCGTCATATTAGGCGTCAGGAACAAATTTAGGTGAGAGTAAAAAGCAGCGGCTGCACAACGACTATAGCAGAAGTCTTAAGCTCATTCCTGACTGGTTCAAAACAATTTAAAAGTGTAACCACCACTGTCTTCACATATTGGTGAGCCTCAACTGTGTGCACTACACCTTGCTGTTGACCACCGTCTACGGGCTTCCTGCAGGGTCCTCAGCCCTTTTTCTCCTCACTTCTCAATGAAATATTGTTTTTCCGCGATAACTTTGTCGCCAAACACAATCGGTTACTACTGTTTTTGTTATTGATAACGATGATGACGTTATTTTCCCCACAGTTCAATCACACATCTTTGTAAAGGTGAGTGCTGTTATCTCATTTTTCACGAACTGTCATTCACTCATGCGACCAATAGGAACTCATCTTCTCTGCACCCGCGCCAGGGAGCGTATTTATAAAATGACACAATTTGTTTTATTAAGCTGTAGTTTCCGAAACAACTATTTCTTCCTGATTCAATGACACACGAATCCATCAGATGCCAATATTATACCGTCAAACTTTTGAATAAATGGGGAACGAAACTGGTGCGTTGGAAAAAAAATCAAAGCAAGGAAAATCACTGTTTCTTCCGGTAATTCTTAACTGATGTGACCAATGAATTTCGTGCAGGGATGTTTGTGTTGTGAAGCAGTTTGCGGTCGGTGAATGTACCTCAGATGGACGGAGCCAAATATTGAAGAGATTGCGGGTTTTAGAGGGATTGCGTCACCCATTTCTGCTGCAACATTTCCGCTGCTTTTTGGTAAAAGAACACATCGACGTTTTCTGTGAATATTGTGAAGTAAGCGGAGTACAAACTTCAGATGAGTTTGTTATCCTTGATGCTTGTCATACATGCGGTGAATTCATGCTTGCAAAACCTTTACTAATAAGGTTCCTGTTTCCACTCATTTATTTCACAATATCCTAGACATTGTCATTTAATTTGTAAACATGAAAACTTGCTTCACACTTGATGTCTCGTCACGCTGTTAACTACGATTTGACGGAAGGAAAGCAGCCTCATTTTGGCACAAGTTGATCAAACTTCTCCCTGAGTGAAAGACCTTTGGTCCTACTTGGGTTGCCTCCAAAAAGTTAGTTCAGACTGTTGCGCACGAGCATTAACACACTTGGTCTTTCATGAATATTTCAATTTGGGAAACATATAACCCGAACGAAGGTTTGCCACCGTCTGGATGCGTACTCACAATTGATATAGAACTGGGACTACACCTTACAGTAGTTAACGCGGTTACTGTCAGAATTAATCGCTGTCGGGAATTTTTTCTTTAGATCGCTTACAACGCTGCATCTGAGGTGAAGGATGAAAGCGGTCAACTTAGCCATATTCCAAATCGGGAGGATGGGTTAGAGCTTGAGCGTTGTGTGTTGTTCAACCCCTAAGAGTGGAAGGTGAAAGGAAATTCAGAGGTTGCACCTACCTGATGAACCCCAAGTACAGCCGTCCGAGTTTTCGGCTACCTTACGAGTAGTTTTCTGTCCAGGAATGTATAACGTGATATCTGAGATATCGTAACAACTGGAGCATGAGGCAGCTTTTGTATAGCACAGTCAGTTGAAGAATATCATGAACAAAGGGTTTAGCAAATAGTCAATTTTTAAAACCAGACCAAGGTGTTTTCCAGGGCCTACCACATGCAAAGGCATGGGGTGTCATGGAGACAAAGTCGCTCACGTCGCATAGGAATCGTTCGCGCGCTCAAGGTATTTTGAAGTGTTTTCCATATACTTGTATACAACCGTGTGTTCTTGTAACTTGTTTGATTTTTTTCTATAGGGTGGTAGTCTCCAGAGCTACTTGAAGAATTTGAATGAGAATGGGAGACATATGGAAGAACATCAAGTCGGAGTGTGGGCAGTTCAATTAATTATGGCTCTTAACTTCTTGCACAAGAATGGACATCTGCATGGGGATGTCAAATCAAGGTTTGTGTTCTTAAGCTTTTAAGTAGCCATACAAATCATTGACAGATCTGTCCGATTTTCAGTTTTGTTTGATGCATTTGCTATTCATATGCTCACTTTTTGTATTCAAGTTGAATAAACGCAGTGGAATGCGCAATGACGATGTCTCCTTGACTGGGGACGAAACGTTGGCAAGCCAGTTGCCAAGCTCGGCGAACAGATCAACTGCCAACTGATCAACTACCAGTAAACACACCCGAGCTGCCTATATTCCGACAAATTGACAAACAGCCTGTTTGTTTGTTTTTTAAGTTGCCTCTGAACAGCAAATACACCACTGATGTACTGAAACAGTGAATGCACAAGGTTCAACTTAGATTAAAGTGAAATCTGTACAAAAGTTCAACTTACTGACTTTCATAAATTTTTAAGGTATAATACGTTTTGAAAACTTTCCCACAAGTAACGCTGAACTGGTTAATTGTTCCGGTTAATTGTTCTTCCAATTTCTGACTGTTTAGCTTGATCTTAGCAGCCGAAAATAACTGAACACTTTAGTGTCAGCCGGCACTAGAGCGACCGTTCCATCCCCTCCAAACCGAATAATTCCTTTTTTGGATTGATACCGTGAGGGCATCACGTGCTCATCTGTGTTTTTCTATCTTTTTTCAGGAATATTTTCCTGAAGAACGGACACGTGAAGCTGGGCGGTCTTGAGCAATGCCGTTTGCCAGCAACTACATCGAAAATTTACGATCCATTTTCCAAAACACTGTACCGCCTGAGTCCAGAAGTGTTGAAAGAGGGGGTTTACACACACAAAGCTGATGTCTGGTGAGTTTCGACCATGTAATCTCTTACCAGTTATGCTCAGACAGAACTGTCATTATATGGATGTTTTTACTGCTTTACAGGAAGGCATTTCACTGTTCTGGTGGCTTTCCTGCCTGGATGATGGCTAAAATATTTTACCTAATCAGTGTCACTTACTTGAGGTTTACCGATGCATAGTTCAGTTCATTTCTGTTCACTGAATTTTCATCTAAAAGTCGTCAAAGTACCGATTCTGGTCATCTAAAAGAGTTTTGTCCACATTTTAGAAACAAACGCGTGATGTCTCCGACTGCTCACAATCGATGTAGACGACTGGACGTACTGTCATCTCAAATGTAACAATTCTTAATTAAAAGGATGAAAGTGTGGGATTCTAGAACAATTTTCAGGGTGAACTTATTTGTGCTTTTTGAACAAACTTGAGAAAGCCCGGTACGGAAACAAGCAGAGCACTAGAGTATATCTTAAAACTATATGTGTTGTGTATTCCCCATTGATTTCACCCTACGGGTCGGCCGGTAGTCTTGCTGATGTTTCTCCATGTCGCCAATATATATATATATATATATGCATTGTAACGTGGTAACAGCTATGAGACGTTTCACATTCCTATTTTATCATGATTGCAGTCCTACTCCTTTATTGTTGCTCAAAGCACTGAATCACACGCCATCACGGGTAAACTTATCATTTTTCCTATATTTCTATATCATATTTCACCAAGACGTTTTGCTTTCTATCACTGTAACGGACATATTAGAATAGACCAGCGTCAGGGTTGAATTATATGCCACAACCCGAGCACCGATGGTTTCATTTTGGACAAACGTTCAATACTCCGAAGTTGAAATTTGCCTGGCTTCTTTCGTTAGTATGGCAGGGCCTCTCTGCTGTATTGATGCAGACTACAACAGACTGGTTAGCAGTTTGGGATTAACTTGCCATGTCACTGCCTGGTTGCGTTCCATTGATTGGGAGACCTATTATTTTTCCTAATCAGCGTAAAAAAAAACAAAAAATCGTAATGTTTCAAATTCGCATGCGTTTTTGACTTATTTTTAAAAAGACATCTTTTCTTCACACAGGTCTCTGGGGTTGGTTATTTATGAAATGTGCACTCAGGAATATGCCTTAAATGGAACAGGCCTCATCCGTGTCCTCTGGCAGTCGATTCAGCAGTCATGTCCAAGGCTACCTCCACCTTATTCAGATGAACTGCAACATCTAATAGATGCGTATGTGGGGCTTGCTGTATTTCCTTTTTATTCATCTCACTTTCATTTCGTAAACAACGTGACTAGGTTCCGAGTACGAATTTACTTGGAAATCCTACGGTGAAGTTCATGCAACCGACGTGTTCTAGTTACCCATCACAGGCGATTCCTACTTATGGGCTGTTAGCAAAAACGTCTAGTAGCGGGCTATGAAAGTTCAAACGCCGATAAGACTACAGGATATGCGGAATTTTAGTCCAAAACATTATATTTGGTGATGCCCAAGTAGTATGCCTGAATGAGACTGGAGAAAAAACTATTGAAGGCTGCTGTTGTGGTTCCAATTCAACGAGACTTGGGGGAGGATTCAGCTGTATCAAGGTCGAGATCAACAACTAAGATACTTAATTACACAGCCAAGCTTTAAAGAATGTATTTTTTTGCTTTCAAGAGCAATTCAGCCACAGTACTGTCTTTGCATTTCTGCAATTCCATTTGTTTCCCACAAAGTAGACGCGCCTTTAGTAAGTTGAAAAGAATGACTACGATCCATAAAGGGAACTCCATTTTGAGAATTTACTGAATCTTGTTTAATGTATGGGAAGCTGCTATATTTCCTCAAAGCCGTATCAAAACCAATCCACAGTAAGCTCAAAAGAAATTCGAGGACAAAAATGAAGAAAGAGACTAGTATTTTTTGATGACTTTTCAGGTTTCGCACGCTAAATAGAGCATTCCCAGAAGTTGCACGTGTAAAGCTAATCTCTAATAACTGGGCGGAAAAGCAATCCTGATAATTTAATTTTATTAATACATCTACGTGCGATGTATCAAAGGTCCAATCAGATATAAAATGTTTCATAACCATCAAACTGTCTCCAAACCACATCAGCCATAAAAGAAGACGGATGCGAATACCGAATTTTGCAGCGGAAGGGTTTCGACAGTCATGAGCTTCAAAGTGATTGGCCTAGCTTGCTCGATATCATCGAAAAACTAGTTGGACGTTGCTGGCGGCTTTGGCCCTTCTTGTTACCTTCATAGTAGTCCACTAAGAAAGCAGTGAGGTTCAATAGATTGTCGCTAACTATCAGTTTGGGGATTGAAAACGACCCTTAGGGAGCGTCTACTGTCTTCATACTGATTGATGTTCACCACAGATAATCCGTGGCATACACAAGTCTGCCTTGTCACCAGTTCAAATTCGTTCTTATAACAGTAGTGGCGCTGAGTATCCCGGAGCTTCTGAAAGATGCTGAAGGCGTGCGATAGTTTGTACACAAAAATGATGGTTAGGCCTACAAAACTTTCATAGGCTTATCCATTGAATAGACTCATCCCTTGTGCACTACACCAGAGATTTAAGTAGATCACATCACCAGCAAATAGGGATATACAACAACAGGTGTTAGAGTGCGTGGAAAGGTACATAAACTGGGAACCTTTTGTGCTAAATACAAGTAATGCATGTTTGACGCTTAGAAAATATATAAAGCGAATTGGACAGGATGACTATTTCTGGTTGCTGAGTTTCCAAAATTATCCCCTTTACAGCATGTTAACAAAGGATCCAGAAACTCGACCGAATACATCCGAACTGTTCCACTACCCCTTTCTGACGCGTCAGTTGTTCGTAAGTTGCTGACTGTGTTCGGAGGGTATATATGCCGGTCGTACTGATCTTGACAACTTAATATCTTGCATGACCCAAAGGTTTGTGAACTATTACGACTTTTTTTATAGTAAAACCATAACGCCACAAATATAACTTACATGTGTGCCACACCTATTCATGTGTGAATGTCAACAAGTGAAGTATTTACGAACTAATTTTGGCCAGTACTCTCACTTTCACATCATGTCGGGCTCAAACAGCACAGAAAGTTGACGTTAAGATTGAGTCTACCTGATGAGCTCTAGGTAGGACGAAATCGGTCGTAGGCTGTCGAAGATTTCAGTAACATTATGAGTAGTGTGTTACGTCTGGATAACCACGAATGGATACCTCCCATTGTGTGGTGTAGGGATGCCACTGATGGTTGAAGGAAACTTATTCTTCGCAACAGTCAATCTGAGTGTCAACAGTTTGTCCTTCTTAACCTATTCGTCGTTTACCGTTTGATACAACAGCTGAAATTGCAGCTATCACGATGGGCTTTCCAAGTGGGAGCCAATCGTCAATATTTGTCTTTTCATTTCCGCGTTCCTTCAAACTAAACACAATTAGCTTCGTAAATACCATGCAACTAACCTTCATGTTGACTTCATTCATGATTCGCACATCTCCTGACTGTCGCAAGTCCAAACAACCACAAATTTCTCGTAACTCTTGGAATTGTGTGGTTTGAAAATGCGCGGTAGCTCAGGCTGTTGTTGATTCAAAGTCGTGCCCCAATTTTTATTTTTTACCTAAATAACCGCCACACTACTTACTATGTTCTTCTCCCTTCGCCCGCTATTTGCTAAAAATTCATGGCACAAAAGTGGCATTATTAGAGACAACTGTATTATATTCTAGTATTAAATGCTGGCGGTGGCCTTGTTGCCAGTTTTTTGAATTTGCGCTAATTAAGTGTGCCTTAACTTGAAAGCTTCACGAGTTCACTGTTAACCCACAAGCGAGTACTACAGATCAAACATTCTTAAAGAAGCAATTTAGTCATTCTGTGCTTACCGTGAATTAAGCCTGCATTATTTGAAACTATTTGAACATACACGGAAGAATGATTATGGAGATATGTTTGTTTAAGGATTTTTGAACAGAGGATGCAAGGGCTCAGGAAATTTGTGGCAAACGCAAGCGATTTCAGGCTGTTGTGTTTTCGATAGCTTCATTTGAAATTCTCGGCCTGTTAGGTGTACAGTCTGCGTCCTACGCGGTCACAGTGATTTACACTTAACTTTGTAGGTTAAGTAAGCCATAGCGCCATACCCAAGTATTGTTAAGTCTTTTCTAAATACAAAGTTCATGGAAAAACACTAGCCTAATCCTTAGGGTTGTGAGTAACGGAAGTTATTGAGGTCATTGAGGGAGGAAGCTAGAGAATTCGACATGATAGATAGGTCTAAAATCCCGTGTGCAGTCAGTCACTATCTCAGGAGCTTAGTTACCTAGAACCAACAGGTTCCTAGGGATTCGTTGGGGGTGATACACAAGCCGTAGACTATGAAGAGTAAAGTAAAGGCATTAATGCAAAATTCCTGTAGAATAACAAATTTCCATGTCAGCTTACACTCACAATAATCAAACATTAGACGCGGCTCCTTAAAGGTTCGTTCTACAGGTGTCATTTGTTGTTGCAGGATATGAACCGAAGACTCAAGCTTGCCAACATCGAAATATCAGGTATACCAATCCGTGAACAGTTGGATGAACTGCGAAAATTCTGGTGAGTGGAACGTGAGTCACGATAAGATGTTGGACAGAATTAGTATCAACCCGCTCAGCTTGATTTACATCCTCTGTGTTGCTCGGCTATCGGTTTATTCATAGGGGGGCATTCGTTGCTCACGAAAGGGAGCTACATGTACAGGGTGGGTGCGAGATGGCCTAAGTGGTTGGAGCGCTAATTTATTGACTGGTTCAAACCCGAACTCCCCTGTCTAGGCTTGGGAAACCTGTCAGTATCCCAGACTTCGTGCTCCCTTTGGATAGCATGGCAGTTAGGCACTGGAAGGGTGCTACAGCTGAACGCTATCTACATACACAGGGTGTACTTTGCCCCCCATAAGGATCGCCAGTGAGAAGCAATCACACTGGTAGCCTCCTAAAAATAGGCCCTTATTTGCGTCTGGCAGGCGTTTGGCTGTCAAATCAACTTTTTCACTTTCACCTGCAGTTTATCTCGTTTGCTGTTTGTTTGCTTGCCTGAAACATGTCGTACAATGGGAGGAAATCACCGGTCGCTACTTGAATGGTCGATTTTCTCTCCAAGATTCATCAGATAAGGCAGGTGTGCTGCTATAGATTCTGTGGTCTTAAAATTAGTATAGCACTAATTGTGGTTCAATGTTTCACCTTTTTTGAAGTGTCTGATCACCAGAGTTTCCCAGTCTTTTTTTGCGGTGTCGGGTAGGCTATAATTTTTCCGATTGATCAATTGTTAACTTTTGCGGAACGAAAACAAGGTTTTCTTTTTAGGAATAGGCATCTTAGTGGGATAAAAATGTTGTAAATACTGGTACTCTGTTATGCTGAAACTCGCTATAGCAAAAGAATGCTTTCCACTACACGAAGAAATGGTTGAGAATGGCATCCTCTCATATCGCCTTTTTCTTACTACCGTGAATCCATCGTCTAATCTTACATCCAAAATCTCTGGAAATTACATGCCTCAGCATTCTCCTAGTACTGTAATCTCTCTGTACTATGCTCTGTTACGCCGAAGTTTGATGTCTGGACCCGTAATTCAGCAAACTAAATAAACAACGGCGGAATGGATGATACAGTCGAAACTCCCCGTGTTTGAAGCCTTCAATCGCAGCAATAATCTGGACGTATGAAACAAGACAGCTGAGATCTTTCTCAATTTTCGAGTATTTTGCAACAAATTGCTTCGCTGGTTCGCAATACCGCTGGTAGTCTGTTCGAATGATTATGCAGGCAATTTCTTGCAAAGTTACTTGATCCGGGCTATTTACACCAGTCTGCATGGATGAGCTCTCGAGAATTTTCCGGCATTTTTAAAAAGTAATGCTAAGGCGTTGTACAGGAGTCAAAAGACGTTCCCGAACACGACATCCATCAGGATATTTAGCACTCTTCTAGTTTAGCAGCACAAAATGTTTGCTACTGTCGATTTAAGCCGGAGGTCACAAAAAATGGGCAGCGCCAAGATAGTACAACTAACAATGACGATGGCAAATGCAATTTAAAAAATAAACACCTCACGAGGTAACCTGGTGTAAATCCTGAGCCTTGTTGAAGTCATTTCTCAATGTCAAGTAAGTAGTAAGTAGACTAGGAGGCTGTATTTTGTTCACAGGCTGCTTGAACGAGTCTTTCTTGGCTAATAGCCTTCAGAGCACTAAATTTGGAATCTTGCTAAGCTATTTAGTGCTGTAAAGTATCGCTTCTTTCGGCTGAAACGGACCTTACTGGGAGAGCTATCATTTTAGAACTTTTCCCTCGCTTGTTGACCATTTATGGAAACTGAAGTCATGTTCTTTTTGAACACTAACTGTGCTTGTAAGCTGGGTAAACTGAAGAAAGCCTGTACACAATTACATTTCCAAAACCCCATAAAATAAGCGAAATACGATAATTTTTTAACCAATAAAGCGGAGAACTATCAATGCGGTCGGGGAAGTTTAGTGGGTTGCTGATATCAACTTCCCTTTCTTTCTGGCATGAGGCACAGATACCAGCAGTTACCTATTCTGGCGTGGCACGCAGCGAGACTTTTGGACACAATATGTTGAATGCCTCATTCGTTGTGCTCCCAGATATCACGGTTTTTTCACTTTCTTTGTTCAATGAATAATGCGGACGTGCTAGTAGTGTTATTGGAATAAATTTGTATCGTCTTTGTAATCCTCTGAGGCGTGTAAAATTGCATTTTCCAAAGAAGAGTTGGACGTTGATTTCCAGTGCACATTATTGCTGTCTTTTTCTCGCGGGTTCTCTGAACTTCCCGATCAGTGGCGCGCTAGTTTAAGGAAACCGTGTCCGTCTTTCTTAAGTTTGACCTCTTGAGTTTTCTTATCGAGCCTGTGATTTGCTGGTCGCCTGCTCGGATCACTGGCTCAGACACGTTGGCCACTGGCTGTGATTACTGGGACAAAACTTCCCACTCAGTCGCGGAAACGATGGCAGACTTCAGTATGTGGAATCACACTTGCACTAATAAAATCCTGGGAAGGATAGATACTATTTTTACATGTTGCTCCTCAGAGGAATGCAGTGGAAGAATGAGGGCTTGGTTAGTTAGACCCGGAAGTGGTAGAATCACCACAACAAGCTACTATTTCATATTTTACAGTCGTTTTGGAAATAATTAACCGTTTAAGCTGATACAATCCTTGTGCAGTTTACAGCGTTTCCCTTCGGATTTCCATCTTGTTGATCTGGCGTCTAACTGGTAGTTATTGTTAGCGGTTTTCATAGCTGATGTTTTTATCTTGGTATTTTGCTCGCCTGGTTCTATGTTTTCCTTTTATCAATGAAGTAACTTGCCGGAATAGATAAATAAATAGGTGTTTACGACATATCAGTTGTTTTACTGAGTTCCCGACTTTTGTAGGGAAGTTCCTGTAGATTCTACTCACTCACAAGGAGACGAGTTGATAGAAATACTGCCGGACAACACTCATCTGGAAGACGACAACCCCGTGCTTCACCTTGAAGAAAGTTTCTCAGAAGTGGTAAAAAGTGACGCCACCGAAGCTGATGATGCTGTAATTGAAAGCAAAGTGACGCAGGAATCAAGGTAAGCCCATCTTCGGATGAACATGAACTGTATATGATACCAAAACCCGAAATATTCCAACGCATTACTGAGGTCTTAAATTAGTTCAATGCCTACAAAAGTGTAAAAATGCCGGATCTAGTTGGCTTAGGCGTGGAATTTAATTTATCTGACTCATGGCTGTTATAATGAGGGATAGCTGTTGTGAGGCCAACCATATAGTGACTTGATCGATCACCTACACCCAAATGAAGAGTCCTACTTATAAGGAAGGCCACGTCTGGCTGGCGTTTTGATATCCGATTACACATTTCTCAGATGATAACTGTTTGACAGAAATGTTATAACAGAGCAAGCTTTGAATCCTTTTACTTCCAATTTATTGACCTAAAAGTTACAATTGAATGCTACAAGTTAACGGAATAAACCGAAAAACTGGAGATAAAAGAATACCGTTTCGATACAAATTTTTAGCACAATTAATCCAACGCCGAAGTTTTAACGGGATCCAAGGCTTAAGCACTGCAAAAAGGTGATCCACTTGGGAAGCAGGGCTCGGGATCATATTTCTCCAGTTAGGCTTTCTACTTGGTAAGACCTTTGGCGATAGCCGGAACTGAAAAAGTTGCTTCTTCTGTTTCTCCTTCTCGAGTCAGCTTGGCTTTCTCGAACGCCAGTTTTCTAAGTCAGTGTTTAAGTCAGCCAACTCCCCATAACCTGTCTTTCTAAACGTTGCAACTAACGGACCATATGGATATCCCATCCTCACTTAAATCTACGGTGTATCCCCTGGTGAATTGCAATATTCCGTCTTTTTTCACTTTTGCATATTATTTATCTTTCTACCGTATAATCTGCAGTTTGCTCTTCTCTTAGTTTCGGGAGGTTATGTGATGCTATACACCGTAAACTTCTTCGGGCATGATGCTTTTCAGGCAAGCGTTTCATCATTATCAATTAAAAGGAAGCACAGAACTGGGCCAGATATCAATCTGCGCCCGTGTTTGATAAGGGTTAGAGTTTTGGCTACATTCCTACCAGCCATGACTGATTACGGAGATATCAGTTCCAAGCGTTTGACTGCGGTTGATATCAGAAGACATATGTTTCTTCTTTATAAAAGTACATAGCTGGCCATCAGTACAATGGCAATATTCATTGTCAGTTCTTGAAACATCTACACCAAATCGATGCTTACCTTGAACTGCTTCGCAGTCCAGATGGTACGAAAAGTTCTGCGTACAAATTGCCTTCAACTATTCTACGGCTGCGACCGTTTGGAGCCTTTGCAGCTGTGTCTAATAAGGCGAATAGCATTGGCTTTTGCTTGTCACTTCCAATGTGCTCCTACAGGTGCGTAGCAGCTATTTTATTTTTATTTTATTTATTTATTTTATTTATTATTTATTTATTTATTATTTATTTATTTCCACTACATTTTCCACTACATTTTATGTACGTTTTTCCCTTATTTTTTGAGGAGCGCTAAACATCAACATTAAATTAACACAATTGTTGACAAAGTGGGATTGTAAAGGTCAGGAATAAAATTAATATATCAGTATGTGGCTATAAGAAATGACAGCTGTAGGTCTAAGTTTCTTTCCAGTGACTCAAGCCAAGGAATGAAGTTTCTTCGAGGTGCCCCTCTTAATATTTGGACTCATTTGACAGAGGGCGTTAACTAGCCAAAGGACAAACGGCGTAAAACTCACGAACCCAATCGAACACATTTCTATAAAGTCTCAGCAATTCATGTTTTTCTCAGTTACAAAATCAGCTTTCAAACATGTTAGTTTAGACAGTGAAACAACTGAAGATCTGTCAACTCCGATAGTAGTGTAAGATGAATTATTTGAAATAAAGGAAGCTTTTTGTTTGTCTCCCCCTAGAACTGATACAAATGCGTCAAAGAACGGGTCTCAGGATGAACAATTATCCACATATCCACAAGAAGTAAGATCTATGTGGTTCAATCATTTTATATTTGGCCTTCGGTATGGACAACTTCGTAGAATTATCTACTGTCCATTCGTAACAAGTAACGTGTTTAGGAGATATGAAGTTGGTCCATTCAGCACTTCCAGCGAGAAAGTGTTTCTTCCTCATCAGCTGATTTCTGAAAATGATCCTGAGAAGGAAGAACTAAAATGTTGAACGAAACCACGCAGTAAGTTTCCTGGGTGTTACTCTGAACAAGTATCCCAAACCTCCAGATTCTAATGATGCCATACTGGTTAGTCAATACCAAGTGAGTGTATACGGAGAGAAAAGAGTAACTTCAAACGTTAGGCTTACTTCGACGGTAGAATCATCGACCCGATGCGTTACTCACTGAGTGGTTTCGTCCAGTATTTTACTTATTCTTGTTCTGTTACAAAATGACTGTTTTTACCAAGCGGCCGACAGGATGTTGACATTCAGAGGAAACTGTCTTCTTTTTGTAAACGTTGAAATTATTAGTTATTTGCAGCCGAATTTCGCGTTAGTTGGATCCGCTTTTTTTGCGAACCTTTTGTTCTTCCAAAGCAACACCCATTCGTAGACCATGCATTACTCCTAAAACCGCTTGTCGTATGGACAAGCCACAAATTGTTCTATTTGTAATCTAATGTGAGAAATTCACTCTTCATGGCTGTAAGGAATGGATGGACGCTGTGAAAACCATGTGCGAAGCGGACGTATGAGTTTGGCGCCATGAAAGCTACACCTTAGATCTAGATACATTCATCTACGAGTGAAGTCCATGCCCTGGTAAGACTTGCTGAACCTAAATCATTATAAATAATATTGGTTTAAACACTCCGATGGTTTGAATATCCCACGCTTGGTGATCTGCAAAATCGCAAAAAACTGGCAAAAAACGAGATTTTATTAAATAGTTGTATTCATGGTGATGTGATGAGTTGGTAATATTCAATATAGAAACCAATCTGTGCTGAAAAGCCAAGTAGCAGTGGGCATCTCACGAAACTCGGAGAGTTTTGAACTCGCAACCTTCTCGCCATTGGTTGAACACTTAACCTTTAGCTCACGAGTGCCTGGTCAGCAGTGTAAGTAGCTGTCAAGTAGACAGGACCTGGCATCACTCATCCTTCAATAATGGAAACCACATCATGTGGTCACACATTGTTTGGCTCCTCGAGTGACCAGTGGTATTACTCGTGCAAGGTTGAAAGCATTAAGGCACAGACCTCACATTCTGACTTGCACTCTTAAGCGTCTATATGCATATTCGAATATTCAGTGCAAACCTTCAGAAGAAACAGCAAATTCCGCAATATCGCCGTAAAACTGTTAACACCAAGTGTGAGGGAGTCGCACACTCTACACCTCTTGGATATTCCTCCTACCGGGATAGCGACTAAGTGCCCTGGGAAAAACTCATATTTCAAGTCACTGATTTGCCGACTGCACCCAACTTGGCATCATTGGCATCATGGAAGAAACAACGGCTGTTTCGGGAGTACAGCAGTTGTTAATTTCTCCTTCCAAAGGTAGTTTCTGGATCTCCATTTTTAACTTGTGTCTCATTCGACCTGATAGTTACGCCATTTAGTACTGTAGACAAGTTAACTAACAACTGGCTCGCTAGACTATTTATTGCTATCTCTGAGAGGTGACAACATCGAATTTTCTAACTATTGTCACGAAACGTTATATTTCTACGACTTGTTGGCTGCACTGGTTTACGGAGGCTTCAAGTTGGCAAACCCGAAAACCACGTTTATCGTAAATCATGGTCTATATAACTATTGTGGTTCGGCAAGCTCAAACGAACACCTTCACTTTAAGACAACCTGCGGTTCGGCGAATAATACTCCCATGATTGAAACCTCAAGAAGCAGAAACGTTGGTAAGCCATGTTCAAAAACAATTTGGGCACATAAACAGGCACATACATTCTGGATTCAGTTTGTCGTGGCCTACCACGCAACCCCTATGAAGCACGGGAATAGCGTTACTGCGTAACCAATAAGGCAAAAGTAAGAGTTTCTTCCATGATTGCGGACGACCTTTTAGCAAAAACGGCGAAGAACAAAATGCTTATGCACGTTTTCGAGAAAAGCGCTCGTTTCCAAACCGATTTGGTTTTCAAGGGAGACTCAACTAGATCTCTCGTTTATGATATTCTACAACTGAATGTGCTGCACACAGGCCGCTTCATGTTTCAGTTGGTACGATATTCGAAATATAGCAGTATATTTTCATGAAGGAAACTACTCACAAGGTTGCTGAAAACTCTTCGACAGCCCACGACAGGTTTCGTCCTGCATGTAGAATATCATAAACGGGAGATTCAGTTGAGTCTCCCGTGAAAACCAAATTGATTTGCAAATGAATGTATTTCTGGAAAACAGTGCAATTTGGGTTCAAGTAGAGCATGAGGTTGACGGAAACTCGGGGATTACGCCTACCTGATGAGCCCTAAGAAGGGCGAAACGGGTCGTGGGCTGTCGAGGAGTTTCCAGCAACCTTGTGAGTAGCTTCGCTTATGCACGTTGTTTAGAAAGAAATAAGTTATTTAAGGAAAACCGAATCGTTCTTGTTTTCATGGTTTTATGGCCTACCTAAATTACCAGCAATGCCCATATTTTACGCGATCAATCCCTCTGATCGAATGGTTAGCTACCAAACTATAACCAACTCCACAAAAGCTCGTAAGATGCAGTCTCCAAAAGTCATTGTGGTTTAGTGACGCCATTGTTTTGTCATTCATCACCTTTTCAGATAACTAGAATGCCTTAGTGAGCATATCATCAACAATAACACACGTGTTATCATGCCAACTAGTGATCATAAAGGAATGATCTTACTTTGTACTCATGACCTGTTATTCAAGTTTATTAATCAATCCAAGTGACAGAACCTTGATATACTTGTCACACTCTAATCTGAGATGACCTTGATATTCACACTCTAATCTGAGATGTTCATGGGTAATTTGGAAAATAATACTTGTGTACTCCAAGTGATCGGTAACTGAAGGTCTGTGTTTTGGTCGATCTGCTCATCGGACACTGATCCCAATATAAGGTAACCTTACGAATGCACACGAATAGACACATTAGTTCGCTGAGACTCAGAGGACAAGATGGGTTATTCTCTTGACAATGCAGGAGAACTGCTATGAAATGGCCGGTGTATTCAGTTGAAGCGCTTCACTCTTCTCAAGCACAAGCAAAAATTAATTCAGTATCTTAACAGAAAGGCAGAAAGGACTCACACAAATTAAATGCTTTATTCCGTGTGGTAGCGGTTACACGGAGATCTTGTGATGAACGGTCACTCACTCGGTTTCACGCTGAGGGCAACAGCTCCGAAAAAATGTAAAGCTTTTTTCATTAGACAACAGATGTGTATATCTCATTCAACCATTGAAAGGGAACTCAATTGCGGAGTTCACATTAAGGTATGCGTGAAAGTTAACAAGTTTGCCGCTGATCTGCGCACATCTTTGAGCTCAGCTACTATAAACAACTCTTGTTTCAGAAACTTCATCATGCTGTCGGCTTTCATGTAAAACCTAGTAAGAATACATATTCATTGGTCATCTTACCAGTCTTTCCCCTAGAAGTATTTGTGAGCACCGCCTGTGTGCCGAGGCCGATTCAATCCTAAACAATCACCATACTGCAGAAGTAACTGAATTATGTCCCGTTACTGTTTTACACACACAGAAAGAGTCATAACCCGGGTGCCGCCAAAGTCAACTGAACAACTTGGTCACAAATGATCGACCGACTGTCATTCTTACCCATATTCACTTTTAACATTCACCTGGTTGTTCCTGCAAGCAGTATCGTCAACTTACAGCTCTTCATCTACTTAACCTTTGGTCTATTCAGATAACATTTTATATTATGTTGTGATGGACCGACGGAAAGCAGAAATATGCCATGTTTCCGGGGTACTTCGGCAATTGAGCGCACCTGTATTTTTGTCAGCTTAGGGCAGATTTCCGTTTTCCTTGAACCAACATTACAGAATCAGAGTGATTAGAAATAGAATAATCATAAACAAGGTGGCGATTCACCGCAAATCACCACATAATTATACTATCTTGGAAGCCGCGATTTTCAATCAGAAACAATTAACCTAGGAGTAGTAAAAGGGTCGCAATAATTTCTCGTCAGTTCACATGCAACCCGAAGCCCCCATATACACAAATATTAGGTCTGCGTTGCCTTTCACTCAGAAGTCAATCCTTTAGTGGCCTTGACCCAGATGGTTGTTCCCGTGCTGACCAGCTGCGTTAGTCCATGGTTCTTGAAACTTATTACTTTCTTTGGGTGTTTCAACCTGTGAAGTTCAGTTGTCGTAAGCTTGTCTGTCAACCATTCCATTTTATGGGACGAACGAACGTACCATGTACGGCTTCCGTTTCGGTGCTTCGCAGATTTGAAACAGCCCTTCACACTAAATGCATGTTAGGAGTCCAGTGATATTTTGGAAACATAGAGCCAAATTTACACTTGCCCTCAGGCCAGTTCGGTATGACTTATCTTTGTGCCTCTTTAAGAATACGAGCCATCCATTCTGTTGTAACCAGATTCAGTTGTGTTATGTCATCTCAGTTCGCCGAGAATCATGTTGGGTAACTTCCATCACCAGAACGTTTTTTATTTGCCCTTTCTATAAATTATATTCTCGGAACTTGTTACGCGGTGCACTGCCAAACGCCGCCGTGTGACCTCATGGACATCTCACATATTCATACCGATTGGCATGAAATATCCTTATGCTTTTTGTTGTTATCTTTTGCCCTAGGGGGGAGTGCTATACATCTCCTCTATAAGCGTCCACAGGGATCCTTCACAAAGCATTACCACAGGTATAAGAAAACAGTCTACCTCTTTTTGGGGGACAGCACGCCTAGTCCGCAGCTGCTAACATTCACCGGGCTAGCTCGTTTTCTCCTCATGGGTTTGATTAAGTTTATCTGGAAAGGGCTATGTAGGTCTATGCCTTCTTCAACGCCTAGGTCCCCTTTTCTATCAGCATAAAAAAAATTTTCTGTGGCCTTGTAGTGTGTTTCATCCACGATTCTTTTCAGACAGAAAATTTTATACCCTGGCACGAAAAGCAAAGGTTTCACCTACCGGAAGAGAAACTATTACAAGAGCTGCGTTCTTTAGCATAGGTCCCCTTTCTATCAGCATAAAAAAAATTTTCTGTGGCCTTGTAGTGTGTTTCATCCACGATTCTTTTCAGACAGAAAATTTTATACCCTGGCACGAAAAGCAAAGGTTTCACCTACCGGAAGAGAAACTATTACAAGAGCTGCGTTCTTTAGCAAGTGCGGTTTTGAGAACGAAAACTGATGTCGATGAGGCTGAAGACTTGGTTTGGCCAGCTCCTACTGCTATTTTTGGTATGTATTTGTGTGACGAAATTTTTTGCAGTTATGTGGCTGAAGTTTCCGCTTTGCTTCTGTGATAACGGATTCTGGTCGGAGTACCCTGCACGCGAACGGGAAGGTTTCCTGGCGGTCAGCAAACTGTTACTCTCACTCGAATCTTATTTTTAACATGTTTTTACTCGGTAGTTCATTTAGAAGCCTCGTCTTCTGACCTAGTAGGCTTGAGCATCACGTGGTCGGACTTGACGTTTTGTTTAAATCCTCATAGTAGGCGTGTTACGGGTTACGTGGAACAAAACTTGGCATGGACTTGGTCGTCCCACCATGTGGGCCAAACATTCTGAAGACATCATTTGGCTCTCAAATTAATTAGATAGTCTGATAAAAAGTTGTCCCTCCACAGCCGAACATCTGTGAGGTAACTTTGCGGCGACCTCCTGTATGGCCGACTTGAACCTCGCAACTTAGTGCTTATTGATTTTCTTGGTGCCTAAACACTAAAAGAATTGGAGACAAAGGACACCGTTTGATCATTTAACGGCAAGTTCGTAAAGATGTGTGTTCCGTATCACCGGTGTAGCAAGACATTTCCCCTCTCTAGCTTAACAACGTCTGATTCCTTTTTAATTATAAAAATAAGACATAGGAGGCGAGGCGGCTTATCACGGATGCAAACATCAATAAGACAGTAGGAGCTGTAGATGGGTGCTTTGCCACGCAACATAAAAGTGACGAGACTTCAGAAGAAACAAGCAGTCTGTTTTAGCTACCTATGGAAGATTTTTTTAGTAAGGCGATCATGTTTTGGCCGTTTGACGATGTCTACAGATGGGCTACGCTAGGCCATATACCAAAAAGCAGGTGTTTGTGTGTTAACAAAGAGTTCGAACCATATTTGGTGAAATACCGAAACCCAGTAAATATTCCATCTTTCTAAATTACAATTACAGCTTTTGGGGACGTATGAATCATCCTCGGTGAGAAAATAGATCGAGAGAATTATACAAAACTCAAGTGAAAATGAACTGAGTCTGAAAGCGGAATTTTTTCATTCGCCTGTTGACTGCTTAAGAAACCCATGTAACAGTTCTAGTATCGCAAACCAAAGGAAGGTAATGCCTGAAAATCTTGTATTGGTTCAAAGTGACAGGTGTTACGGCTTTCTCTATGGGTCATGATATTCTCACAACTTATCCATCAGAGCGACTATAAGTGATATCTTCTGAGGAGTCGGTTCCCCAGAAGGTGCCATCCGCTGATTTCGCTAGATATACTAAACCCAGACCAGGAATTATAGAAGACACATGTCGCCAATCACGTGTCATTAAGGTTTGCAGTGGATGCATGTGAGGCTACAGTTCGGCTGTTGATACACATTACATCCTCTTTTATGCAGTCATAGCTGCAGGGCGGATTGACCTGGTTCTAATCAAATATTACCAGCAGATGCATTACCATCGACGTCTGGGTGATAGCGATGGCTCAGTGAGCGCTTACTAAACAATATATTCTTAAAAGTTCAGGATTTTCAAGGGCTTTAGTGGTGCCTTAAAGTAGCGAAAACTTCATTCCATGCGTCGAATGACCGAGCCATTTGCTGAGTTACCATTCGTATCAACAGAATTCAGGATTGCCTCATTTGCTTTTGAAATGCTCATTAGTTTGCCGTTTGAATTCGTCGGTATATTCAAAATTGATTGAGTACAAAACACTGTTCAAAATGTTTTTCCTCATTTGACTGAATTTCGTGATGAGCGTATTTAGAAACAACAGTCATGCAGAATAAATGCATGAAATTTTACAACTAACAAGCTTGTCCTACTGACAAACACCGGAGTGTTCAAACGTAGGGATGACTTTTGAGAAGGCCACCCGAGAACGGCCACAACTGCATGCAGAGTGTTCAGATAACATAGATCCGAAAAAAATCAGTTACAATACAAATTTAATCTAAATTTCAGATAAATAAAGAACCATAGATTCTATCACTCAGTTTGTTTTTGCAGTGCGATCTAACAGTTCGATTTTTAACAAGATGTCCTTTTTTACACGTGTTTTCTTCGTCAAACTAGTGTGAAACGCTAGTAGTACAGTCTGAAACCAGTTATGGTCATTCTATGCACCTGAGTGTACAAACATCGTAATATACACTGGAAGTTCATCACAATACACAGATTGAAGATACGTTCACTGTCAGAAACAGCGGACAACTTTACTGGTTCAAGGGGAGAAAATTTTGGCATGCACTGCCATAGTCATTCTGTCTACATCAACTATCGATTTGCTTCGGATCATTTCTGCAGATCATGGACATATAACGGTAGCCATGCTCCATAGACTTTCGACAAATCTCCCCAGCCAGAGGGTGAACATTTCACTTTTTACTAAGGGGTGGCTGATGGCTCCTTTGAGACAGAGTAAATATTCTTTTCTAGCGGTAATTATTACCAGGAAGCTGTGCTGGTTTACGATAAAATGGAGGATTTCATCATTACAACCTCACTGCTACATTATATTCTAACCTATATCTGCCGCGAATTTTTTAATCTTTCTTTCTGAATAGCAGACCTAACGAAAAAATGAAAAGACTTATGTCGCTTCGTTTACTCTCAGGGAACATTTCACAGCCGGATAACGTCCCGCTGAAAGAGTATACTATTCAAAAAACACAGAAGATGCGACGCTGTTATCCAGAAGAACCATCCGCACCGTATTTGAATAAGGGAACCCAGGTAGAGAATGGGCAACGAAAAATTACTAAGAAAATCTATGATGAACAACCGAAGTTCCCCGAATACTGGAAACTTTATACGGAAAATTGGGTAACTGAACAAAGTAGCAAGCCCAGGAAGGGGACAAACGGTTCGCTACAGCCAGTGCTCGAGACTACGAAAGACAAGGAGCAACCAGGGCTTGTGCAACAGTACCAGCTCTCTTGCTCTGAAACAGCCCCAGCCGACCTTAACAGACAAACACTCATGACCGTCACAAACAAGCCTATGACATTCTGTGAGCGTGAGTATTCCTGTCATTTTTCAAATACACTTTTTTGCTCTTTCATCAATTTGTATTGTAGTACGAGTAGCTAGTGAGTGCGCCTGCATAGAATGTTGCACCCGAGTTTACATAATCCTTGTCACGGCGCAGTGTGTGAGCTCTGTGTGTCACAGACACCGCCATCTGGTGGTTGTCCGATCAGCCACAAATATTGGAAGATCTTATTGATATACTCTCTTTGATATGACAACACTTACTGGGTGCGCCGTGAGACTGTCTCTTCGAAGGCAGAAGATTCATCAATGTAAAGATGCAAACAAGGAAAGACCTGATGAACCAAAGCGAATAAGCGGGTCATGTCGGTTAAGCAATAGTTACGGGAAATAGAATGCTAACATTTATATTTCGAACTACATTTTCATGACTTACTTAGCCTACCAACACTTAAATTTACCCATGAATGGTCAGAGAATCAGCAGCAGAACAACAACATAACTGTCAGCCGTGTACGACTTTGTTTGTCTCTGTGTGAAAATCTACTTAAAAATAAACCGCTAGCCAAACTCTGGAAGTGTCGGATTTCCTCGGTTTCAAATCATACATGCATATATATCAAACTGCATTCTACAGAAGAGGTGACTGTGAACTACCAACCAAAAGCCAGGCCCACGTACACAGAGTAATTGATAAAACCGCTACTTGTGTACCAACCGATACAAACGAATTTTCTGTACATATGGGCCATAGCCCCGATGAAATAGGTGATTTTGAGAGCTTTCTGACCTTGGTAAACGACTGTTCACTACTGTCATTGGATAGGTCAGCCTGCATTTCCAGGGTCTGGAAATTCTTTTCCGCTTGACCATTCACCCCAAAAACATTTTGAGATTTTGGTTGATTTGCCTTGTTTTTTCATGCATTACTAAAGATTTCCAAAAAATTACCCGCTTGAAAAATTCTCCTCATTTCGGCAAGGCGAGTTGGGGTGGGGTGAAATAACAAAACAGTTTTTTGTTTTTTAAGGTTGCTTTTCACCAGGATAGTTAAAATAGATTCATCTCCGGCCATGAGGGAGTTTATAGGCTTTCACTTATGTTGAACTGATAATAACTGACAGAGCTTTCTATATCGCTCTGCATATGAATCATTAAAGGGTCGTCAGTGAATAGTGACGGGATGAAAACAAATAGTTCATAAACATCTGCGGTTGCGTGATCAATGCCTAGTGCTGTATTCAAATTGGAGGGCAAGGCTTCTACAGTGGGCTAAATGAAGTACATGCAATTATCTCGGTGACTGTTTCAGACTTTTATGCTACTGAAGTGACTGTCGTAACTGCCTGGTACTCCCGGTTTATGAGAGCTGAAATTCAAAGTTTCTTTGTCTTGACTCAAGTGCCTTGAGGAGGTTGAGCCAATGATTTAGATATTTTTCACGGATTTATTCAACTTCCTTGCCTACCCATTGGAACGTCACTTTGTGACGTATCCGGCCAATTGAACCTGGATAGTTGTTCATTTAGTTTGGTAAATAGCGTAATCAAGTCAATCGCTTTTGAGAAATCAAACAAGTTGAGTGATACCTTTCTCCTTAGAAATATTGAGCGCAAAAGCCCAAAATAGTATCTACCATCCACACTGTCATAAGTCATTTTTTTTCGAAGGTTACAGCCTCACATTATTATTACACTCTACTCGGTTTTTGTACCGCTATATTTTAGTTTATGAACCTTTATGTTCAGGCTCCTTATTCTTGTTACAAAAAGCACGTGACCTGGAGTGAAAAGCGTACCCAAGCTTCTGACTTAAAGTTCGCTAGGCGCGTGGCTTTCTTAGTTTAAAGTACTCATAGAGAAGCAAATAAAGCCAGAGGTTACTACAAACCAAAACGATTCATAATAGTTTATTTGAAAAGATGGCCTGGGTGAATTATTCAATCTTGAAAACTCACATCAAATCAAGCATAATTTTTTCTCGCTTAAACAGTGCTCACGTGATCCAGGCGGTGAGAATAAGGTTTACTCAATTCAAAAACAAAAATTCATCTGCATTATGCTTGCTGAAGCCCAAGTATTCAGTAAAAGATTATATGAATCTGCCCAGTTCGGCACTCGGGTTTTGGAACTCAAAGTAAAATCCGGCACCTGTGGAATAAGTAAAGTCGATGATGAAACAGCTGACTGAGCTGTCATGGACTCATCACTAACGCATAGAATTGTCGATCCTCAGAATGGTGGTTAGTCATAAACGGGTGGTCTTTGAAAAATGAAGATTATCACTGCTCAGTCTAGACATAACACGCCGGTAGATCTGGGGTGAAATGCCCCTGAGATCCGACGTAGGATATTTAGCCAAATGTTAACAGATGGCTGTAAAATTGGCTGAGTACCAAAAGCGTCTGCATCCTTCACTCCACCGAAGATGTTAGGGAGCAAAAAATGCAATTAAGTTACAATTTAGGTATCGCTATGGTTGACTGAGGCTGGGTTGTAAGTTCATACTTTTTAGAGGCATTTCTAACTATTAAGTCAAGACATCCACATTAATGTCACTGGATGCTCTCAGGTCATGGCTTCGAATTTCAGCGTCCGCACCAATCAACACTATTTTCTCCGTCTATGATGAGATTCAGACCATGTTGTCTAAGACCGAGCAAAGTCGATTGCCATTCGTGCACGTTTCGTTGTTAGTGACCAGTGCTCATTCTAGCTATTTGTAAAACTTGGCTTTCTGATTATCGTGTCTTCGTGATTGGGCTTTCCGGTATCAAATACGTAGTTTCTAAGGATGAACTTACCCTTGAGTTCAGAATTATTCCACTAGATGGGGATAAGGCGTTCCGTTCCCCTTAAAGTAAACGTCCCTCTTTTTCCAACAAAGTGTTCCATTTCAACTGTCCGTAACAGTCGAGTAATGTGCAAATGTGTGAATTGGCGTCTTATTGTACGTTTTTAGCTGGCATTAATTTGAAAGGTTTCCTCGTCCTGTCGTGTCACTGTCAGTGATTATATCCCCGTATCTGACGAAAATCAAGCTCTTCTCAGATGCTCCCTGTTTTGAGAAGCACAAGCCCCATGTTTTCTTACAGCCTAAATGGATACCTAGTAATGTGGAATCGTAAGCTTTTGGCTAACTTTCCAGTCAAGCTGGAACAAAACGGAATATTTGTCAACTTGAGAGGCGAATAACATGGGCGTCATTCATTTACTACCGCATCAAGGGTAGCGCTGCGTACTTTGATTATTATCAAAATAGTCAACGGGTACAGAAAAAAGAAATCGAAAACGCATAAAAGCTGTGTATGATACTGATTAAGTGGTCGTGGTTTTTAGGGTAACTTGCGCTTCCCTTTTCACTCCCTGAAAAGAGCATATTTCTCGTTGATTTCTATGCAGCTTGCCCCATCGTATGAACTGCAGTTTGGTCATATAATATACTATGACATAAATGAAAATGCACATATTTCAGTGATGCTATTCTCTCATACTGGGTTGTAGAATTTGATGGATTACATAAAGCTGACCATTGCTGCTGTTCGTCCTCACGTACACACGAAGCTGTAAAGGGGATCGATAACGATATCTGCACTTGCGACACTGGGCTGCTGGTGCATCAGTATTGACACAAACAACAGAATTATGGCAAATAGCACATGGGACAGTAGCAACTACTGGTCTGGTTCTAAAACCTACCACTTCAAATAAATACGAATATACGATCAACAACAGCAAGTTGCTTCAAGGTGAAGGACTGGAGGGGATAGTGACAACAGTGATTCAGTGATCTCTGCATGACAACAGGGCAATGGGTTAGTGGACTAGATGAAATTAAGAAACAGGTAAAACGGTATACGCAATGATCGGAGGATGGAAAAGTTTCGTGACGGCCTTTCGACAAGTGGGGGAAACAAGTGAACGGTTATGGGTGAATGTAATTTGCCGAACAGACAGAAGGATGCAGACAAAAGGTGGTCTGTAGGTGCGTCCCGCAGAATCCAACGTCACACTTTACAACTGTGGATACTATCACGTTCTATCACATAGTACGCGAGAACTGCGCTACAGTCAGACATGAAGAGACACAGGCCAACTGGTAATCACAAGCAGAGTGGATCCATTTTTGGGCACAACCTGAATAAATGCTGGGTGGAATGACCTTGATCACGCGACTTTTGGTCAGATTGAAATCCCTCCTGACGGTTCGATTCGAGGAAAGATGAACTCCCTTCATCAAGAGTACTCATTCGCAATGACAACAGACAGACAATGATTAAGAGACATGCTTGGAGCCGGGAGCGAGTAATGCGAAACGTAAGCAAGCATTTAACTGTCCATCGTAAAGATTCCCCATCGAATTTCATATTGGATACAATAAGAAAACATTAACAACAATAAGTCGGGAAAGTGAGAAAATCGGACTAGTAGCAATTGTTTAAGATGACGCAAACTTTGATTATTTGACTCCAAGGAATCAACACAGGTATACAAGTCTTCTTCTTGACGCCCTGAGCAAAATTGCACTTTCCGAAGTAAGTGTATGTAAAGCTAATCGTGGTGGCATCCCAAGACAGCCCATGGCAATGAACACACTCGCACTGGGCTGGTTCACTTCGGTTTCTCTACGATAGCCGTGGGAGTGCAGCGGTCTATTAGACAAAATATCATACCTCTGGTCATATGTACGTCGTCGTTGGTCAGCTCACAACGTGAATGACCATTCCCTAAGATTGCTGCATTTTTGAAACCCAAATGATTAGCTTCGAGGATTCTTGTTTTAAATACAGTTTGGTGTGTATTCAGAGCGTCGATTTTAGCCAGTCTCTTTCTTTTAAACCCGTTCATTTCAACTAATTCTGGGATTGACCTGTTACATCCTATTCTTCGAAGTGTACCGTTTTGGAGGACAATAGTTCGGAGGCAGCATTGTGTAGGCCACCGACGTCTGACTTTGATACTTGCGAAGTGGTTTGCTCTCAGGAATTTTCATATCTCCGTTCAACGTAGCTTTACTATTTCAGATATTTCTGCCTAATTCTTAATAATTAACATATAGGGTTAATTTTAATGATTAAAGTGCATGTATATAGATTCGAGCCAATCAACTCTTGTACAGATGCGTACGATTCCGTTTAAATGAATTGGCATTTCCATCTAACTTTCTGTTTAGCCCAACTAATCGACATCAATATCTCGAAGGCCACCATTCTCAAACAGGAAAAGCAGCCGAAGCCAACAAGATCAAATGTAACTCCACGTTTGGTTTCTAGTGATGACAAATCTGAGGAACACGAACCGTTCCTTGGGGATCTTGCAGAGACGAGCACTGCTGAAGAAATGCAAGTATCCCTTGAAAAGTTGTCGAACTCCCCTTGCGGAGAAGCAGGTAAGGGCACCTAGGGCCTGGACAGCATAATCGTACAAAGTATCAGTTTGTTCCCTGAATTCCACATGTGGCTTCCATGCATACCTCGCGCTGATACCTGCTTCAAGCAACATTTTATACAGCTGAGGGAAGTTAGGTCTTCGCAAGTCATGACTCCCGGACATATTGCGAGTGACCAATGTGTTGTGTCTTTAGAATGTGTGATGAGCCGTTAGGTGGAAGGATAAGTAACCGCAACTCAAAACGTCAGGACGAGAATAATAACAAACTGAGGAAACTGATATGGTGAAAGTAGTTAAAGCAGAAAGTTCAATGTAATCATAGTTTGAGGAGTGCCATCACAAGCCTGGAGACCAATGTGACCCGACTCATAGTTCATAACAGCGCACGCTGGTCCTGCCAGATACGTATATTCCTGTAATGAATATCACCCAGACAAAGGTGACCACTGGGAAAACGAAGACCCCAGTTACAAGTTGCTTGATCGACTGTTGTGTTAGAGGCATACTTTCGATTGTTGAATCAATGCTGAATAACCGTAATCTTTAGGTCTTTCTCGATCTTTTTAGATTCATGATTTTAATTACAACGTGACACAGAGGAAACTCTGTGAAGCGAGTTTATGAACAGAAAATGAACACCAATGGACGCAGACTAATTCCGTAGGTTAAACCAGTTTCTCAAGTTGAATATAGCAAAATGCTATTCTTGGACTGTTGAGTATGAGCTTTCGTGAACCAGGATGACTTTACTGGGTTCATATTCAAACCTTTTTGTCGATATACTAGCTACTTCACAACGTGTTATGATAAACTGAGGACGAGTATGATCAGCAACTACTCGCCAGGCTGACCATACGCTCGTTGCCTTCGATGTGTTCTATGTCTTACTACTTGTTCTTGTCGTTTGTGTCACTTACCGCCCAAAGTCACTTCCGAGGGCTCGAGTACTAAGTGACGCCGCATAGGAAATCTATACGATGGTTCTGGAACATCTGTACACTGCAGAAGAAGATGTCAGGCGAAGTCGTGTTTCAACTATCCATCTTCTGGCCTGTACGATTCACATACCCATTTACCCATGATTGGACGTGAAGGATAGGAACACGCGCGTAGGAGTCTCTCAAAACGCAACCGCTTGTTTTGCTTGTGTGGGACATACGGTTGGGTGCTTACTATCATCAGATGAGATGTGACACCTTGGTCTCTCCAGTTGACGGAAACTCAAATTAATTTCAAATTCAACTCCTTCAAACTTGTGAGCATGTTCATTTGGGGACTACCAGCTGAAAATCAATGGAGTCTCGCGTCAGAACCAAATGGTGTGCAAACGGGTGTATATTTCTTGTATATTTCTTGTGACCGCGCCTGTCTGATCAGCCCCAAGAAAATCGAAAACGGCTCTGCGCTGTCGAAGAGTTTTCAGCAACCTTGAGCCTAGTTCCCTTCAGGTAAACAAGAACGAGTTGTGCTGATGAGATATGGGTTACTATACTTACAACACTTGTTCGGAATTTTAGGTCGTAAAGTTCGCTGCTGACATTTTTCTGCATCACCTCATGTTGCCATCAAATAGGACCTTGGAACAGCTATGATAATCCTAAAAATAAGACGATACTTTGCAAATCATAATTCAACTAACTTGTCTTCCCAGGCCAATCAACCGTTCCTAATGACGAGAAATCAAATCTACATCTAGGTGTAGAATACGATATTCCTTCCATTGTTTAACATTAACCTGCCTATCAACACCAGGGCATCAATTCTTCACGTTGGGGAAGGAAACATGTTGGCTATGCTGTATGTGGGGAGCTGAATCAGGAAATTTCAAAAATCTCTTCCATAGACAGTTTATATCTGCAATTTTTTCAGTGCACATACTCTGAGCCTGAATCACATATCTTTCAAATTTTATCCAAAGTTCAAGTATAATCGACGCATGTATGTAGTTTCCGAGTCTCAGAGTTGCTGACCATGAGTACGCGTGCTCCGACAGATATGTTGTCATAGTTTTCAATATATATATGAAAGTGTTGATAGAAATAAGATTTATTAATTTACTGATAGAGTTTGTAGGTGATTTATTTTTCGCGTCAGATAAATCCCCGGTAAATTCTCGGTCTGAAGTTTATTTTCTAATCGTTTAGGTTGTTTGTACTAGCCAGGGGCATTTGAAAGTGATAAAATAACTGTCGGATCTACACAACGGTCTTGAGATTTACCATTTCTTTGAACTAGTCTGTCATTGTTGGCTAGAAGGAAAGATGTTTATTCCTTTGACAACATGATACCTGAAAAATTTTATTCTTCAAGTTGCAGAATACCAGGCTTCGAGTCGACCCGAAATACCGAAATTGAGGTTTGATGTGAAGTGGATAGACGCGGCCAACCTACGCAAGTGAGTTGAAGAGAGTTTTAGCGTAAATTAGCCACAGTTGCTCTCCAAAGGTTACGTGGCCGATCACTTGTCCTTTTTGTTGAGTGCCATGGAAGCTTTCCTTATTATCCCCTTTCATGTGCGCCAGGGCCTTCTATTCCAGTGTGCTTGGCGGATAAAAGGTACCTAAGAATGTTGTCGCGCTTGCGTTCAAGTAGAACATAAGATTGACTGAAACTCGGGGACTGCGCCTACCTGATGAGTCCCAAGAGGGACGAAATCGGTCGTGGGCTGTCGAAGAGTTTTTAGCAACCGGGACGAAATGGTCGTGGGCTGTCGAAGAGTTTTTAGCAACCTTGTGAGTAGTTTTCTTTATGAAGACGCAGAGTCATACATTAATCTGTTCACCTCCAGTCACACAATATCCCTTTGTTTTGCCTAGCTAGGTATAGAATCCCCCCGATTGTGAGCCTAAAAACCTGAGCCGTGTGAATGAGCTCACGTCCATGGGCAGTCAGACATTTCATGATCAGCTCTTTATGCTCTTGATGAATAATTTAAATTACACTGATATCTCCTTAAACCTTACAGCTTGGTTCATGCCAGTATCCAATTTGACTTGGAACGTGAACTCAATGTACTGAAAAGAATTTGTTGTTCCTTGGTGTTTGAAATACAGTTCCTAAATTTCCGATAACAGTTTCGAAATAAACCCTCGGTATGTAGTGTGCGGGTGCTCCAATGGCCTGAGTATGATGAAATGTTCTATCTAATTTATCGATTAACAACGGACTGCAGACAGCATAAAGGCAAGACCGACAGACAGACACTTCAACGGCCTACTCGGTGAGGCGTATCATTTACCGGAGCATCTTAACAAGGTTAAACAGGCAGCAGTCATCGTTTCAGGAAGGTTTGGCAAACAATCGGTAGTTTTTGATCGGGCGACGTTTCGCTTTCGACACAATAGCTTCATCATGTCAAGTGAGCATGTTCCCCAATCGACCAGGTTTTAAGGCAGACGGGGAACCGATCAGTGAGACCTCTTCAGACCATCACACTGGATCAGTGTTGTGTCAATTAACTGCTGTTGTCGGTCAGTGTGGCTGCTAAAATCTTGCATTGATGGGTTGGAAGAGTTTCAAATTAGTTCCGGTCTGTTTTTTCCTTAACCGTCCGCTTCATGGCGCTCCAACTGATGCTTTGCCGCGGGTGGAACTGGCAAATTTTCGTTGGTCTTTGCCTGCTTGTGAGTGTTCCGACAATTAAGTTGGGGTGGCAGGATTGGTAGGGTTAAGTGAAATCCAAATAATGATTACTCCTCACGATAGTCGCGCACCAATCCGTGTCAGCTCGACAGATCCAGGACCTTTCTCCACACGCTTGCCAGTTCCATGCCTCCTATTCCGCTAACACTTGGATGCTTGGCGATTTGTACCGCCTTGGCTATCAGTCTCTGTGATGTCTCTGTGAAGTGGAACTGATTTGAAACTCCCCATCAGTGCAATATTTTGGCAACCGCACCAACTGACAAGAGCTGTTAATTGACACGTAACATTGATCTAGTGTGATAACATAAAGAGGCCTTACTGATTGGTTCTCCATCTCCCTTAATGTCTGATCAGTTGGGTAGCCTGCTCACTTTTTTGCCAAAAGCGAAACATCGCCCGTTCAAAAACTACCGATTGTTTACCAAACCCTTCTGAAACGATGATTTCTCAATCGGTTCCAAACCTTTCCAATTGACTGGAGGCAGCAGTCCTGTTTTTCGTTATCCGCACCATGGCTTGCTTCTGAAGTAGATAACTGCATATAAAATTCTGGAAATACGTTGTTTTAGGGGAAGATTCAACTGATTTTCAGCTGAATCTCTCCAACTTAATTGCCTCACGAATTTCACCTAATTTTATGCAGGTACGGTATCCTAGATTTTGCGGTATATTTTCCCGACTGAACAATACTCATACTCTTCATCTACCTAACGAGCCTCAAGGAAAGCGAGAACATTCGTAAAAGCTTCAGCAACCTAATCATCAGTGTTCTTTGAAAAAAATATACTGCTATCCCTATTGTTTTACCAAGCCACCTGCATGAACCAATTCATGGTGAACCCCCACTTTGTTATGTGCATCACTGTGACGCCTGCCCAATGACCATTACACGCCAGTGCTCCGAAACTCGAGTTTTCGCAAAGTAAGGTAGCGTGTTTAGTTAAGCTTCGTTAGAAGAACTCGGTGCTGCCAAGTTTATCTATCCATTTCGAGCCAGTATAGGACTCACATTGTGGATTGTTTTACGTCACACTATTATCTGACCATAGTACCCATCAAGCGACAGAGCGAGAAGTATAGAAGGCATTGGCAGACGGCGCCATTCCACAGGACAGAGGCCAAGCAATACTGTGCACTGGTATGGCATTCATGTGAATGACATGTATAGGTGAGGGACAACCATTTATATTCTTTTTTTGGCTGCACATTACTAAATGACATGCCAGGTGGATTTTATGAAGACGTCACTCTAAGTAGCATGGTAATCATTAGCCAGTGACAAGATGACAGCTAAGTCTTCATGAAGGAAATTACTCACAAGGTTGCTGAAAACTATTCGACAGCCCACGACCGGTTTCACCCTCATCGTCATCATCAGATAGGCGCAGTCCCCGAGTTTCGTGGCAACAATTTGGTCTGAAATAGCTGTTTTAGAATGCACAGACTAAATTTCTTCTGACCAGCATGAATCTCTTTCAAAACCTTCAACAGATATGTCACTGTTTGGCAACGGAGGAGTGTAAAAGTCTAGGGACAGTAGTGAGTGATGGTCCAAAATAAGTGTCGACGGTCTGATAATACTTTAATAAACAAGCCGGATTCCAATTGTAGTTTTGCTCCAAAATTGGAGTGTATTCTTCGGTCTCAAGATAAAACACCTACCGGTACTTCCTAGGAAGGATTCTCTGCAGTTTTACATAGATCGGAGTGCACAAAATGAGTGTAATAGGCTTTCCTTTCCTGATAAAAGGCGCTTTTACAGCTGTGCGTTTTCTTTTTACCGGCGCCTACTATCCTTGTCTACTTCGTTTTCCTTCGAGTTATTTCCAGAGAGATGGACTTTCTGGCAACCACGTCGTGCTTGACTGTTTGTCACCTTCGTCGCGTCACTTGGTAGGGACTCAATTAACTGCGTGCTCAATGGGATGAGGTGTGCACCTTGCTGCACTTCAGTTCAGCAAACTAAAAGTATTTTCCGAGGCATATGAGGTTAAAAATACTGTGATGTTGCTCCGTTCGGCTACACATCAATAAACCGATGTTGCCAAAATCTGTAGCGAATTCGCCGCACAAAACTGGCAAACAACTTGACCATTCGATTTTCTAATTGGCTTACTCCAGACTAAAAATGAACGGCATGATGCGGTAGACTAATCACTTCCATATCAACTTCTCAGAAGTCAGACGAAGTGATAAATGCTCTGATTATATGGATCACCTGCGGTCTTCCAGGATTGCAAGCTAGTAGGAAGCAAGCGATCCTCGTCAAGTATGGTGTGATGACATACTAGAAGGAGCGATTTTTTCCGGGGCCAGAATGGAGCTCCATTTGCACGGTGAACAAGTGGAAAGCGTTTGCACAAACAAATGATCGGGAATCGGTTGTTGATCAGGCGGTAATTGATCTGTTCGTCGAACTTGGCAATCGTTTTGCAAACGTTTCGTCACCATACAAGGTGACAATCTCTGTGCATTACATTACATCGTGTCATGTTATTTTATTGCATATTACGCCAAACTGCACTGTATAGTATCATATTCCATAATATCATATATGGTATTTAATTTTCTACTATATAGCTTTATGTATGTGTGAAATATGTGTATGGTTTATCTATTCCGTGTTGATATCGTTCAGCGTTAATTGTCATTATCGCTCCCATAAGTTATCTACTATTTTTTCTGTCCTCTCCCATTTCAGCTCATGTGTTACCGAACTTGGGCCAGAGTTATTTGCAAAGGTTTACAGTTTCCTGTATACTAAAAGGATTGATGAACAAAATACGGCCGACGAACTAACGATTGTGAACGGGCTGCGTACACTTCTCAAAGAACCATCTGTAGGATTTGCAGTGGACCAGTTGGTCTTACTGGAACACGTGCGAAACACGTAAGGTCAGACACGATGACCGGTTTGAATAAACCACATATCTCCCTTTGTTATCAGGGGTGTTTCAGCGGGCGTGTGCGGTCGGATTGAACAAAAATTACTGTTTCTTCCTTATCAAACTTTCTAGTCATTTATTTTTTTAAATTCACTTGTTGCTTTGTTTATTACAAGACCAACATCAAACATTAATATACCACGTTCACTTCTCAGTTTATACGGTGGTATCTGGCACCGGATCACCATATATACGACACAATAGTGCTTGTCAGTAATTGTGATCTTGTTTTCAATTAAAACCCTACTTGATTTAAAACTGAGTATTTTCTGGAGTTTTGTAAGCGGGAAGTCGGAGGAACATCGCGAAATTCAACCACATGGGAGGTTCATCTTCGGCTTCTTTACTTTGAAGTACATTGATGAGAATGTGGAGAGATCATAAAACATGCGACCTCTGATGCAAGCCTGATTTTGGTTACAGTCATCAGGTAGAGCCTCGACTATACTAGTTTAGACATCAGGCGCTTTCTGTGTCCAACCGTCTAGAATTTCACGTGCTTTGGAGCAGGACTTTGATCTTACCCTCAATGCACTCATGTAAAACTTGAAGGCGCGTGTTTCAAATTCTAAACCGACTGAAACGAAATTAAAATTTCAAAAAGTACGGGTTCTTCTGACAGGATCATAGCTCCTCAACAAATACTGTTTACAACGGATTTGCTACTGAACTCGTCAAGGATCATTCGGAAGCTGCAGTCGGCCATCAACCCATCTACTCGGTTGTTCGAAGCCTTCGCAGTGTAGAAATGGCAGGTGTACCCAAGCATGCCAAAAAATTATTTACTCGTTTAGTAATTTTTAAATAAGTAATCCGAGAATGACAACCGAAGCAGTGCGTGACAGTCCAAGACTTCCGAATGCAGAAGATGACAAGAAAAGCCTCCTCATATCCCTAAGGAGAACCTTTCCGGAATCGAGGCTGTTAACGTACAGAAGAAGGTTGGATACCATCGAAAGAAAGACATGCATTAGGAAAAACGATCTTACTCGATTGGCGCTAGGGAGGAGGCCACATTTCTGACAGGGGCTGACTAAGTGCAATCCGACAAGGAGACCGGAGAACATGACAGAGACAAGAATGAAAAAAATCATCCTGAGAATACGTGAAATGATTATTAGCCCGGTTGTTTGACTGCAGTTTTGAAGGCCACACCACAGGTGTGAGTCTAGAAGTCAAATTGCTGCCTATTCGTAAAACTACTAATAACCAGAAAAGCTGAGACCAGACACTGATCCGGCACACAAGAAGGCGAACCCAGAACGGCCACAATTATATTTAATTCGGAATATCTTCCAAAGATTAGGATCGCCTGTAATTTGGCAGGGAATAAGGAATCAATACCTCAGGAACCTCCACAGGATAGGCAGCAGAGGGGAGCTGTATTACCTTGTCCGCATAAACGTTGCAACAAGGTGAGCAAAAATTGATTATTTTGAATTTTGTGGATAGTGCATAACCCTCTCATACCGTAAAAGCCATTGATTTTGTGGCTAAGTTACAAGTGGCGCTAGCCAGCAGTAGAAGACTGACAGGATATTAACGCTAGCCACAATCAGCGTCAGAAACATTGTGCACAATCAGATGGAGATACAGGCCTGCTCAGCTAAAAATCACCACTGTCTCATCGTTGCCACTGAGGAAATACACGATGACGGGATCCAAACAGAAAGCCAAACATTCAGCGGATGTGATCGTACCAACATCAACTATGCAGATTAGGCGCTACTGGAGCACTAAGCGTAGTCTAACATAAATGGTATTGGCAGATAATATTAGACTGTGATCCACCATTAAGTTCCAAGGGAATAACTGCCGGACAGAAATATACCATCAGCGTACTATTCTAGACTCCAAGAGACATAGATCTGAGATGGATGCGTGTAACCATCAGGCAAGTATACCTCAACTAGATACTTATAACTATTGCAAAACGACCAGCCCACACACCTGACAGTGCAACTTTGTCGCCAGCGGCTAGACGCACAATGTATTTTTCTGCAAAACGCCTGCGGACGAAATAAAAACTTTAACGTCAAAATGTTGCAATTCTTTGCATATATGCGTAGACTGAAGACCCTCCTCATCTGCCGTTATTTTTTTGCGATTTGTTTTAATCGATGACATTTGAAAATTATTGGCGCACATTCGGTATTGGCGCACATTCGGCTTTGAACTTCGTCTGCTAT